TGAGCCAGGTGAGCCACTGCACTTGGCCCAAAGCCCACATTCTTAACCAGGTCAAAATATAACCATACAGTAAAAGAAATGTCACACCTGCACCAGGACCTGTTGATGGTAAGGGCCATTGTAGAGTGCTTGCTATATATATACACATACCAATTTTTTTGGTTAATAAAAAATATCTCCTTCATCCACATAGGTAATGGGTATTAACTGAACTTCTACTGTGTTCCAGGTGCTATGTTGGTTCATTTAAGAGTAAGAAAAACAGACTAAAACTCCTGCCCATGTACATTTTATGTGCCAGTGAGATGGGAGTTAATGATCCTTAGACAAATAAATGAATTGTAATAGATGAATGTTGGGTGTTACCAAGGAGATGAGTAGGTGACCCAGGTAGAGAATAAAGCAGTTTTGGGGAAGGCCTCCCATAGGAGGTAGTATTTAAACAATGACCCTGAAGAACAAGGGGTCAGCCATGCAAAAAGCCTGGGAAGTATGTCCCAGGCTGAAGGAGAAACAAATGCAAAAGCCCTAAGGCCAGGAAGGCCTGGGGTGCCTGGAGTGTAGAGGGCAAAAGAGAGAGCACAAATGCATGAAGATGACATTATTCTGATTTTTTTCTTTTTGAGTCAGAGTCTTGCTCTGTCATTCAGACTGGAGTGCAGTGGCACAATCTTGGCTCACTGCAACCTCCACCTCCCAGGTTCACGTGATTCTCCGGCCTCACACTCCCAGGTAGCTGGAATTACAGGTGCCCACTGTCATGCCTGGCTAATTTTTGTATTTTTTTTTTTTTAGTGGAAATAAAGTTTCACCATGTTGGTCAGACTGTGGTCCCGAACTCCTGACCTCAGACCTCAAGTGATCTGCCCACCTCAGCCTCCCAAAGTGCTGGAGTTACAGGCATGAGCCACCAAGCCCAGCCTCAATTTTTTTTAATCATTTGATGAAAGACAACTACATGAAAGAAGTAAACTTGGGCATTTTATTAATAATGACCACTGTGGTTTGAATAGTACTCAAGCCCTCACCCCTGTCAGTCACGAATGTGACCTTATTTGGAAATAGGGCTTTTTCAGATGTAACTGAGATGTAAGTTAAGATGGGGCCATACTTGTATAGGGTGGGTCCTGAATCCAGTATGGCTTATATCCTGATATAAAAAGAAGAAACCTGTGTGTCTATCTGATAGGCACACATGGAGAGGAGATTGCCATGTGAAGACAGGGACACAGGGGGAAGACTGCATTGTGATGATGGAGGCAGAGACTGATATTATGCAGCTGCAAGTCAAGGAGCACCAGAGATTTCCTTTGTGTGTAGATGTTGCAGTGAGCCAGAGTCCCTTTGCTGTTCCTTGCTAGGAGATGCTCGCAGAGAGACGATGGTTCTGCCAGCACCTTACACTTTACACTTTTAGCCTCTGGAACTGTAAGGGAATACATTTCTGTGTTTAAATTCACCCAGTTTGTTGTAGTTGTTAGGGCAGCCCTAGGAAACGAATACAGTCACTCATCAGTTATAACATGCCTCTCGACGGATCACAATCTATCCGCTCTCCCTGAAGGGCTCCCTAGGGATTCTTCCCCAAAGTGGGACTTTGTCAGAGTGCAGGACACCTTGGAAATGGAGAGTTCTACTGTCCTAGCAGCTACATAAGCATAGACAGGCTCATATTTGCAGTCTGGCCTCCATCCTGACTAGCACGAACTGAGGAATTGGTTATATCTCTTGGCTGAGCAAAAGGCATTCTCACTTCCTAAATGTACGGGCATCTTGTCTTCCTTCGTTCCAAAAGAATGAGGGACCTGGGTCACTCCCAGGTCTTCATAGCTCCAGCAATTGCAAAAAAGAAAAAAAAAAAGAATGGGGTTATAGAGACTGCACTCTCTCTGTGGGGAGGTTTGAATTACCCCAACATGGACTTCAGATGATTAGGGGAAAAAATAAAGTTTCATTTGCCCCAGAGTGTTTCTTTGCTTGAACAAGTGTTCCTCATTAACCAAACAAGGGTGTTGTTTTTTTTTTTTTTTTTTTCCATTTTCACCCTGAGTGGCTATTACCTTTTCTCACTAGCACAAAGTTCTGTATAAAAAAAAAATGCTTTAAAGAATTGAAAGGAAATGCATTCCAAGGATAGTGATGAAATCCTGGGTGGCAGGAGGAAGATGGAGTCTCCCAGGGGTGGTGATGATGAGCATAGGTTTGGACAGATGTGGCCCCAGCTCTGTAACCTGGTTGAGCTAGTTCCCTTTCTGAGAGCACTGATTCCTTATTTGTAGAGTTATTGTTGATATGCAATGAAATAATGATAAGGCTCTCAGAAGTGTCTGTCATTCTTAAGTCAGATGTTATTACTCTAGCGTAGTGCCCTCATTGTATAGATACATGGTGGCCCAGGAATGGTGCTGTTGATTCAGGACCAGGACCTGGTGAGAATGACTTGCTACCTGCCTAAGACATTTCCTAGGTTTTATTGCCCGCGGATGTGCAAGGTGCCTGGGAGCTCTCTGGTGTGCCACAGGAAGGCATGTAGACTTTGTTCCAGGGCCAGAAGACAAATAGGAAGATACTCATTTGGATCTCTCTGCCCATTTCCTGTTTATCCAGGAAGCTTCCTCTGGTGGGGTCTGAGATTTTACCCTACTTGCCAGCTAACAAGTGAGCCTCCCAAGCTTGCATGGATATTGGTGGAAGATGTGAGACTGCTGGGTCAGTGACAAAGGGCTTTATGAACCCCAGTGCATGCACTTCACCTTTGTGTCAGCTGTCCTCACCTTGCTCCAACAGGACAACACATAGCTGTAGGGGGAGTCACAGACAAGGAACCCCAGGCTGGGGGAACTTGAATCTTTACTGTGGGACAGCAAGCATGCCGGCCTAGTGCTCCAGAGGGAGATACTATTTCTGCCTTCAAAGCCTGTTTTTTATATAGCCTTAACATCTTTAATGGAAAAAAAAAAACAACAACATAGTCTTCGGAATTATATTTCCAAAGTGTAGCTGGGATTTCTGGTACTAAACCCTTGGTCTGCTTCTGATTCGTTATGAAACCTTGGGCAAGTGACTTACTATCTCTGCACCTCAGTTTTTTCATCTGTGAAATGGAGGTAAAAATGCCTATGTCAGAGGGTGAAGCTACATTTTGCACTTTAAAAGAATAGCACCTACATTTGAAATTGTGTTCTTGCCACAGGCCAGCCAAAAGAGGAACACAAACATTATTTTGAGTGCCTGCGTCTCTGCATAGTGGGTACCAGGCTAGAGGCTAGCTGAGAATGAGTGAAATATTTTGAGCAAAGTTGCACAAATAGAAGCTTGCTTTCCCCCGGTTTCTCTCTGAGCTCCTTCAGAAGGAAGAGTCACGTGTCAGCCTGGTGGATTATCAACAGGCCAACTTCTCAACCTGAAGGAACACACTCTTTACTTTTAGGTGGAGCTCCTATTGTATGATCTGTGCATATTCCTTGTGTTTCCATTTTGGCTTCTGTTAATGTAATGCAAGGCACCTTCCACACTCCACCGTGCTCCTCCCTGGATGACTTCCTGCATCACCTTTACATCTCCAAGACCTGGTCTCAGATTTTCTGCCTTGGCTGCTGCCTTTACTGTTTAGACAAGCCATGATTCACCATCAGTACCTCTTCCACCTTCCTTCCCAGCACGTCAATATCTTTCATTACGGCAAATGAGGATTTAGGGGCATGAAATCCAACTTCCTCCTCCATCCATGGCTCACTGAAGTTAGGTAGCTGAATTCCCCGGAGTGGCCTCACTTCTGCTTTGTTAATTTCTATTGTTTTGGACTTCTCGGGCAGGGAAAACAAACTAAGCCTTTGGCTCCTGGAGGGATCCATAGTCCAGAAGGATTAGAGGGCTGCTGAAGATGAGGGCTCTGATTCTATACACATTCCAATGAGGAGTAGACCTGCCCCTCGAGTAAAATATCTCTTTTCCCAGATTCATGATTGCCCTGCTGGCTGGTGGCTGCACATGGAGTAATTGATCCACCTCCTCATGCCGAAATCTCTTTTTCTGAGATGTAGCTGTTCTGTACTATAAGATCCATTTTTATGATGATTTTTGAGTACTGGTAGTAATAAAAAAAGAAAATATCTGTTCATTAAAACAAAATTAGGCTGGCCACAGTGGCTTGTGCCTGTAATCCCAGCACTTTGGGAGGCCAAAGTGGGTGGTTCACATAACATCAGGAGTTCAAGACCAGCCTGACCAACATGGTGAAACTTCATCTCTACTAAAAATAAAGAAATTAGCTGGGTATGGTGGCATGTGCCTGAAATCTGAGCTACTTGGGAGACTGAGGCAGGAGAATCGCTTGAACCTTGGAGGTGGAGTTTGCAGTGAACCAGGATTCCACCACTACATTCAGCCTGAGTGACAGAGCAAGACTCTGTCTCAAAAACAGTCATCCTCATCATCATCGTCCCCAACATCATCACTTATCTTGTTTGTTCACCCAATCCATTCCTCCATCTATTTCTCTCTCTCTCTCTCTCTCTCTCTCTCTGTCTCTCTTTCTCTCTCTCTCTTTCTCTCTCGGACATCCTATTTCAGACGACCTAAATCTTATGGATTAAAACTGCAGTATTTGAGAATGAAAGTCTGTATATTCTGGTTGTCTTCTGTTTCTTCTTGATGAAGACAGTCTGTCTAGTCCAAAGATTTATGGGAATTAACTAGTTTGTGACTTCTAGAAAATCCTGGTCTCTTCTGCCCCACGAGTAATATCTGTTCTATGACTTTCTGATCAGCACTGGCAACAATTCATTGACCATTTAGGATTTCAACATTAGAATAATATTAGAAGTCTTATTTCAAATCTTTTATTGATTGGAGGGATTTTTTTTCCCCTCTACTTCAAGAAGAACATCTAATTTTTGTTTAAGGAAAGCATAAAGCAGTTTTAAGGCCAGGGTATTTCCCCATTCCCTCGTCAATGAAAGCAGGGGATGTTATGATAAATTTCACATCACCGAGTTTTCAAGAGGAGGAAGCGCCAAGGAACACAAGCAGGCACTGGGAAGCAGAGAGAGCAGAGAGCCTCAGCAATAGGTGGGAGGACCCACTGCAGGAGCAGGAGCAGGAAAAATAAGGCAGTAGCAACCCTCAAGGATGTTTGACCTTTATTGGAATAGTCCTGGGCACTGGTTGCAGGGTTACAGGGTAAGCTGAGATCTCATTTTCTACGCAGGGTCTTTGAGTAGAGTCAGATTGTGAGTGTCAAACTGAAGGCTCCTTAAATCCCCTCACAATGGCTCTGGGGTGATCCTAGACCCCGGGGTGGGCTCCACGTGGACTCTGTTACACAGAGAGAAAGGGTATGAGGGTTAGAGACCTATAGGAGTCTAACCTGAGGCTCTGCAAAATTATGAAATAATTATTTACATGTGCTCATTCTTCTTTATTGAATAACACAAGAAAAAGATTTTTCTTAGCCACAAATTCAGAAACAAAATGAGCCATTGGTAACTTGTTGAAACATTCTTTCTTGAAAATTATCAGATGTTGAAGGGTATTTGTTTAGGTTAGGCATTTATTTAATCCTATGTGATGAACAGATACAACCCTATTTGCTGAAGGAAAAAATAGGATAAACTCTAGGGGAATTTGTCACAGTTCTTGATCTAGTCTCATATTCAGTCCAACTAGCCTTAATCATTTGGGTAATTTTCTAATAAGAGAGATGACCCCTTCGTTCCTCTCTGGTCATTTAGGGTTGTTGATTCACCTTCCCACTCATCTTCCTTTCTTCCCCCAATTCTTTTTTTATTGAAACCTGTCCTCAAAAAAGGTGTGATTATTGGTCCTTGCATTTTTGTGTGATCATTAGTTCTTGGTTCTGCAGCCTCAGGTACACTTATTTTATTTCTTGTTGGGGAACAAGAGGCTTTATTCCCACAGATTGAAGGTCAGGAGACCGGATGAGATAGGAAAACTGAGAGTGGCCTCCAGCCAACAGCCAGCTAGGAACTGAGGCCTCTTACTGGTTTCGCTGAAATGTACATCTCTCTGTCCGCCCCCAAATACTTTGAGACTAAATTTTCTCATCTGCAAAAATATGTTAGCAATCTCAACCTCAGTTGACTTTAGAAAGTAAAAAGCGGGGGGAAAAAACAAATCCAAGCATGACTATACAGAAAGCACCAAGTATAGTTCTTGGCACATGATAAATGCTCAAAACGGGAGTTATTGTCACCACTGTTTTTATTATCACCATCAATATTAGGGGCTAGGTTAAAATGACAGAAGTAATTGTGGAGTGAGACCTCCTAAAATGTGTTAAAGTTTATTTAGAGACATGTCTTCACTACATCAAAATACACTGGAGTTTGCATGTAAGACATTATCTTAGCCTAAGTTTGTGCTTTAAAGATCACAGAGAACCTTGGCAGTCAGGCAATTCTTTTAGGAGCAGGGACTTGAAGCGAGAAAGCATAAATTGACCTGGGGGTCCTAGAAATAAGAAAGCAATCCTGACCGTGCAGAAACATTCACACTTTGGAACCCCACCTTCTACACGTGAAGACAATGTTTTCCTCCGTGACTTTCATGTTGGAGCTAAAGTTCTTTTGAAAACAGATGTGTCCAATTCTGGGTTCAAAGACCCTACCGGAGTCAGGGGTTGTTCAGGTTTCTAATTTCTGGGTGGGCATGTTGGAACTTCTTACCAACTATAGGATGGCCCCGTATTGAAAACATTCCTGCAGAGACTCAGGCAGCCAGAAGTTCAGTGGGTGTTTACACAAGCTGAAAAAAAAGATCAAGGTGAGTGAGGAATAGCTTAAGAGTTTTAGGCTGTTTTTTCCTATCCATTCTTCACAGTGTTACTGAGAACCTCCTGAGTGACAGCCTTGTACTGTTGGGGCAGTGAGGAAGACATATTCTTCCACCAAGGAGCTCACCATTTAGTAAGAGAGTCACATTCACAATGCAATATGTGTTGCACATGCTATTCATGTTATGTATCTAGGGTTGTGGAAGCAAAGTGTGTGTAGCCACTTATATTTCTAGGGATTTGGGCGTGTCTCTATATAAGAGGTTTGATTGGATCCTTGTAAGCATGGGGAAGAGTTCAACAGGCAAATAGAAATATTTTTAGCAGAGGCAACAACACATGGACAGACACAGCACAGACTCCCCACTTAACTTCTTTTGTCTTTTGGATGGGATCATATAGTGAAAAGCATGGGGGCTGAAGGGATACCAGTTGTGAAGGGTTTAGCCTGAGGAGTTTGATTTTAACTTAAGAGTAAATTAGTGTGTTTCTCCCAACCCACTAAGACTTTGTAGTTTACTGCTTCTGCACCTGCCCTTGCCTCTCCCATAGTAAATTATTACAGGGTAAACTGAGTGTTAGTTATTTATTTCTCTCTTCTACTAAATAGAGAATGCCTTGAGATTCTGTATTTTGGAAATTTTCTCTTATTTGTTTCAGGGTCTCAGACAGTGCCTAACACATAGTAGGAGCTTAATAAATAACTATTCAATCAGTATTCAGGTGGTCTCTGAGAAGAAGAGGTAACATATAAACAGAGGAAGGTATTTGTACATGGAGCTGAGAGAAGAACTTTCTAGGTAGTGAGAAGAGCAGACACAATGGCCATCAGACTCAGTAGACATGATATGCTTGCAGAAGACAGAAAAGGCTTAGGAAGAGGGTCATGCTTGCAGAAGACAGAAAAGGCATCAGGAGGTTGGACAGCAGTTCAGAGATGCTGGACTTGAATGCCTGGTTTGGACTGGTGTTGACCTCTAGTTCTTCCTCCACTTCACATGAGTCTCCAACAGCCTACAGTGATTATGGCAGGTGGACTCACAGGAGACCCCCATGGCCCTACCTTCTCATACTCACACTCTTTTGCCATCCTCTCCCATTGAAAGTGTGGACAGGACCAAGGATCTCCTTCCAGCCAAAAGAATATGGTAAAGGTGATGAGATGCCACTTCCAAGATCAGGTTATAAAATATACACCACAGAATACTATGCAGCCATAAAAAAGTGTGAGTTCATGTCCTCTGCAAGGACATGGATGAAGCTGGAAACCATTCTTCTCTGCAAACTAACACAGGAATGGAAAACCAAACTCCACGTGTTCTCATTCATAAGTGGAAGATGAACAATGATAACACATGGGCACAGGGAGGGGAACATCATACACCAGGGCCTGTTGGGGGTTGGGGGACCAGGGGAGGGATAGCATTAGGAGAAGTACCTATGTGGATGATGGGTTGATGGGTGAAGCAAACCATCATGGCACATGTATACTTATGAACAAACTTGCATGTTCCACACATGTTCCCAGAACTTAAAGTATAATTTTTTTAAAAATGAATAATAATAATAAAAGATTGTGACTTCTGTCTTGAAATCTCTCTCTTTCTTGGGCTCTTGTTGTTTTCATGTTCTGATGAAGCAAGCTGCCATGTTGTGAGTTGTCTTAATGGAGAGGTCACCTGGCAAGGAACTGACAGCCAACTCTGGTCACCAGCCAGCTAAGAACTAAGACTCTCAGTCCAACAATCCTCCAGGGACTGAATTCTGGAAAACAACCATATGACTGGGACACCAGTGCTTTCCCAGTCAAATTCAGATGAGAACCCAGCCATGGTACCTTAATTGCAGCCATGTGAGAGATCTCATACTCAAGGGCCCAGCCAACCTGTGCTAGATTCCTGATCCACAGAAACTATGAGATTATAGGCCGGGCACAGTGGCTCATGCCTGTAATCCCAGCACTTTAACAGGCTGAGGTAGGCAGATCACTTGAGGCCAGAAGTTCTAGACCAGCCTGGTCAACATGGTGAAACCTTGTCTCTACTAAACATAGAAAAATCAGCTGGACATGGTAGTGGGTGCCTGGAGTCCCAACTACTTGGGAGGCTGAGGTGGGAGGCAGAGGTTGCAGTGAGCTGAGATCATTCCATTGTACTCCGGACTGGGCGACGGAGAGAGACTCTGTCTCAAAAATAAATAAATAAACAATGAAGCAAACAAGCAAACTGTGAGATAATTAATACATGTTGTTTGAGTCACTAAGTTTGTGGCAATTGGTTATGCAGCAACAGACAGCTAATACAGTGATGTTCTAAGGTCTAGTGAGACCAAAAAGAAAAAGTATGTGGGATGGAAGAGAAGCACCAGTGTGGCCCAGTCATTGGCCAACTGCTTCCAGAGCATTGAGCCTGATACTTTTGGGTATGGCCCTGCTGAGACCTTGGCACAAACCCACCACCAACAGCTCTGGCTTTGTGGAACATGGGAAAGAAGTCTCTCTTAAAAACAGTCAATGAATTCAAATATTTGCTCCAACTCTCATAATCCTTAATAGGAACATTCTGTGGAATCTTCTGGGATCACAATGACATGGAAGAATCTACTTATATTTCAGCAAATATTACAATGAACAACAGCTATCCACACAGGCCTAGAGAGTCGAAGCAAGGACTCAGCAGGTCAGAGAGAAGAGGAGTTTTAAAAAAAGATACCATAGAGCTCACTCAGAAAATCTCTTTTCTACTGAATGATTTTTGGGTCTACAAGAGTCTAAAAATAAATGATGTTCTATCTCTAAAGTTCAGCTTAGGGGATCACCAAGGACTCAACTTGCATTATCCTAAGTGTTGAACTTTAAAGAAAACCAAAAACATAGTGAATGCCAAATCTTTCTTATTTCTTCCTTAATGCACTTCTCAACTTGCTAAAAGTATTGGGATTTTTATTTCCTCGAAATTATGTTTAGTTCATATGTTAACACTTTAGTCAAGGTTTATTGAGAGTTGTAGTGTTGGAATTTTGCCCCAAATGAAGCATTTGGATCTGAAGTTGTGCTTTCGGAGTACTGCAAATACTGGAAAGATTTCTGCCAATGTATACATGCTTTGTTTTATATATTAGGGTTCTGGGTAAAATTACATATGTAAAGCACTAAAAAAGATTCAATGAAAAGCAATGATAAACTTTAAGGCATCCTGAAAACCACTAATATTGAGCATCTGCCAGAAAAAATGTTGACCATCAAAACTATAATAAATTATACTAATTTTTATATCTAAATTATACTTATTCATATAAATTATTGGATACTTCTTATACCAGGCACCTTGGTGAGGTTAATCCAAACATCAATGTGCGATTCATTGAATACAAATGTATTATTAACTCCTAGCAGAGAATAAAACAAGCTCTCAGAAAAGGTAACCATGTCATCTTGATCCCTGCTGTTAAGGATCTAGTGAAAAGGCATAAATGATATAATAAAAATCATTAGTGTGATAAGGGTCACAGTTTGATCCAGTTTTCCTGGAATTCCCTGTTACCTGGAATAATTCAAAACATTCCTTTTCACTCTCAAAACGATCCCAGTTTGTAAGGTAATATTATGTGATCTTCCCAAGCTGGGGCAGACAGGTTTCAAAAGTTCTGTGTGTGTGAAAAGAATTACCTTTTGGTAAAATCGATCACATTTCCTCCTTCTACTTAATGTAAACAAAAGTAGATTATCAACATTTGTCATTTAACTTACATATTGATAGTTTAGGTTCATTCTGGGGATTTACTATACCATAAATTATTGTCCACTGTCTAATTCTCTTGTCCAGTATGTAAAATTAGTCTTGTTTTACCAAGGCCAAGGGAAAATAATCTTTAGTTGAGTCACTTCTTCCAGCTCTGACAGTTTCCCAGTTGCCATGGATACTGTTCATCCATTAGAAAGCATAAATATCTGCTTTCCTATATGGATATGATGACTCTTGTGAATATCTAAGGAGGGAAACTACCACCCACACTGCACTTTAATTTTACTTTTTGTTCCTCCAAGGAATTATTGTGAATCAGAGAATAACTCTATGGAAATCGGAGCTGAAATAGCCTATAAATCACACCTGTCATCATATCCCCAAACTGTGGTTGATTTATGATACAGCCTAATGCCCTGCTGCCACAGCCACACCATTCTCGTGATATGAAATCACACAACATACACCATCAGGGACAATTTAAAGACTATACAAATGGAGAAATAAAACAGGATCAACGTTGGAGAACACTGGGCCACGTATCGGATACAAATACATGGCTGGAAAATCTGGGAGATGAGGGAAATAAATGTTCACACTGTGAAGAGGCAGAGAGACAATCATTTGGACAACACTGGATTATCTAAGCTAATGAAAGAAGGAGGATGGGGGCATGCAAATACTGAAATAATTGAATGCTTATCTCTAGATACAAAGATGCTTCCATGGCCTCATCTTCCAGCACTCAGATTGGTTATTTCTATTATTATTATTATTTTGAGATAGAATCTTGCTCTGTTGCCCAGGCTGGAGCACAATGGCATGATCTCTGCTCACCACAACCTCTGCCTCCTAGATTCAAGCGATTCTCCTGTCTCAGCCTCCAGTGTAGTTGGGACTACAGGCACACATCACCACACCCATCTAATTTTTCATATTTTTCGTAGAGTTGGGGTTTCACCATGTTGGCCAGGCTGGTCTCGAACTCCTAACCTCGTGATCAGCCCACCTCAGCCTCCCAAAGTGCTGGTATTACAGGCATGATCTACCATGCCCAGTGTGAGTTGGTTATTTCTAAACAGAAGAACGGTCAGGGTTAGCTCTTACCAAGGCTGAGTGAAAGTTCCCCAGTCACATTGGTAGCAAAGTAGGACACAAAAAGAGAAAGAAAATAAGCATAGCAAGGTAAAGGAAAACTAGGAGAAGTAAGGCTGATTAATGGTTATTTTCTGTCCTTATCTAAGCTAGACGCTGGAGATCTGGGGAGAAACTTGGGGAAGTGCTTCATAGCCACGTCCACTCAGATTAAAATAGCAGAGCTCAGATTCAACTTCCAGAACTCATTGGCATCACCTTGAGAATGTGCTTCCTCTGATGAGTCAGTATTTAAGCTTGTTCTCTGTGGAATGTCCTTTATTTAAAAATCTCCAAGTCTCATGTATTCCAGAAATCTATCTGGCATTATTTGCTAAAATATTTCAACACAGAGAGAGAGAGAGAGAGAGAGAGAGAGAGAGAGAGAGAGAGAGAGAGAGAGTGAGTCGATGATAAAGTGAAGAGAGAAGCTAATGTGATACCTAATTGTCCTTCTTTGGGGCTGCCATGAATGTTCTCTCCTTCCAGGGCATGACCAGAATCAGCTCACAACTGTCAAAGCGGTACAGAAATGGGAAGAGACAGAGAAAGGCAGGGATCTGGGCTGTGCTTGCCTTGCCAGGACAGCCCTGTGTCTTCCAGCAGCCTGTCCTTTCCAGTTGTAAATGATTGCACTGGTGATGCTTATTAGATGATGATTCCACACTTGTGGATCTTCTCCCTTCACGTGTTCTGCCACTTAATGTGTTTCATTTTTGTCTAGTTACTTGTCATCACTTTGGGAATTAAGCACAGCCTCTGGGTCAGACAGATGTTTGTTGGATGGATGAAAAAATGGGTGGAAGAATTTCTCAAAAAGGTCTCAGGGCTGTCCCAAATTTTTGCCGACTTTACCACCAACTTGCTGTGTGACATGAAGCAACTTACTTGCTCTCTCTGGTTTCCTCATGTGTCAAAATGAAAATGTCTTTCAGTTGATAGTCAGATCCTTTCCTGCTCAAATATTCTGAGTTCCCAGAATCCTGCTAGGTGTCTGTGTGGTCAGCGGCTTTCAAGCAAAGATTTATCACTTTTATAGGATCTCCATACCCTACAATAATCGCAGGTCACACCACTGTACCAGCTGGGACTCAAGTAAAAGCTTTGCTCTTTGGGTGTTGTTTATTGCCTGATTCACTGGAATGAGAAAAAAACCACTAAGCTCTCAGAAATTATTCTTTCTAGATTTCCCACATATTCTCATATGAAGACAATTTAACAGTATGGTCAAGACCATATATGCTTTTGTAATGCCAACAGGTGACACCATCTGAGAGAGACCAGCGGGAAAATCAAAATTAGCTGATCTAATGCCAAGAAGCAATGTACAGAACACAAGTCACGAGAGTCATAAACTCCAAGTATTGGAAAAGACCTTAGATTCACTTAGGTCAATAGCCTCACCCTGGATCAGAGGCATCTTTCCTCAGCAGACATTCAACACTGGCTTGATTATCCTCTGTGATGTTCAGTTTACTCTATGCTGAGGCAGCCCATAATACTGTTAGAACCCTGAAAAGGAACACTGGTCACATTCTCTTTTAACTCTTCTAAACCCAGAGCCTGCCTTGTTTGAACAAAAACAATTGTGATCCTAGGTATTTATAAGTTCCATCATTTAGGAGTATCGGTTCTATAGTCAGAATGTGTGTGTTCCGATCCTGAAGCAACCACAGGTTAACTGTGTGACTTTGTGTAAGATACTGAACCTCGCCCAGTACCCCTTTTCTCACTGGAAAATAGAGGTAATTATAGTACTCAACTAGTAGCATATTTATGAGTTTTAAATAAGATCATGTATATAAAATGCTTAGCACGATGATCTGCAGAAACATTTATTAGACACTATATCTAGAACTTACCAACTGCCATTCACGAGATCCTCATTTTTCTCTCTTTAGCAGAGAGATGATTAGAACAGACAACAAACCACGTCCTTGCAGCCACCAAGTAGATGAATATCAGGAAAGGGGGCTGACGTTAGAATCTGAGTGATGATTTCAAGTCTCACGTCTGCCACTTTCACTAGCTGAGTGACCCTGTGCAAATCACTCTGGACATCAGTTGACCTGTCTGTACTTTAAAGAGAAGTTGGCTCACTCCCTTGAAATTTCCAAATATAGCAAACTGTTTAAATCACATTAAATTTAAGTAGTAGGATAATCTCAAAATCTTTTTAAAGTGTATGCATGAATTTCCCCTGCAAAAGTCTGATGCATACCTTCTCACTCTACCCTTCCCGCAGTGCACATATGCACCAAGTTAAAATCACTGTCCTAACAGGCCGCTAAGTTTTCTTTCCTAGCCTGAGTGCTAGCCCATTATGCTTATGAAAAACAACACAAGTAGTTACTCAGACATTATCATGGACATTTGTTCATCTGTCAAAAAATAACAAAAAAATTGCATTGAGAGGAACAGAGGCATAATATTCCATAAGCTCTTCCAGTGGTATATATAAAAATTAAGTAAAAGTCAACACGCAGAGGAACAGATGCCTGGTCGATCAGATTAATATTCATTATCTTAAAATGCTTGTGTATACACTGAACTATGGTGTATTCATATGACTCACCCCACAAAGAATTGAAAAATCATTAAACCTACAATAATTCTGTTTGTCCGTAGAGTCTGCACTCATTTTCCCTTCTTTCCATGAATTCATCAATGGCTCTTTTTCTTTTTATCAGGCTCTATTTCTCACCACTGCCCATCTCAGACTAGAAGTACAAAAGAAGTTGGCAAATATTTGAACAATAGGTTTCCTGGGCTGGAGGACTTCTTACCTCCGGTTCCCCTAAGGCTGCATCTCTGCCCCACATTTCCTTGGCTCACACCCCAAAAGGCAGCAAAAGGAAACAATAGCTGTCAGCCTGGGCCAAGCTATGTCTTTCTGAGATGCAGCTGAATAATCAATTACTGGGTAAGTGTATCTGAATTTCTCTGGCTGCCTTCCACATGCCTTCAAAACATCAAAGTCTACAGGAGTGGAGGGAGGCTACACAGCCTCTCAGGCTACACAGTTCTCTCACCATCCTGCCTCTCAGCCTGAGCCTCCAGGGACATCTCCTACCCTTGCCAAGTTTACCTGGCTTCTGCCGTCTTTCCCTGCAAGGTGTCTGGAAAGAAACCATCGTTCCTTTAAAGAGGGAACTAGTTGGAAAGAGAGAAAGTGCGGACAACGACAGTTGGCAACTTCGTGACTTGTGGCGAGGACCAGAAGCTGTGAGATAGATACTTTAGACAATTTAAATTTTCATTTGTATATATTAAATGGTTATATTAAAATAAAGCAAGTAGATGCAAACTGTGAGGACCTTCTATGAGGAAACAGCACCCGGAATGTTCTCAAGTTTCCCTGTACTCAGAACCTACAGTTAGAAAAGATGATCTGTCCTTCTGGTTGCTGGTGGAGTTTACTGTAAGAAAAGTCAGAATATCAAGTGATTCAACAGAGGCTTGCCAACCATGGGAGCAAGCTGGGAAACAGTTTAAGGAACAGAAAAATTCTTGTCTGTGAAGATGTCCAGTTATTTCGAGTGTTGATGTGTATTTATGTCACTAGGGAACATGATGGCACAATCGGAACACTTGATATGAAAGTGGCTGGTAGGCAGATCAGACAGCAGGTTGTAATGATTCACTTTAAAAACCGATCCTGTTTATGTAACAGGTTGTGCGCCCAGGCCGAAAAAAGCCCTATGAAGACACCATTTTCTGAGAGAGATGGATATGCATTTTATTTGTTGAGCTGAAGCTGAGGACTCTGACAGATCCATATTCAGCAAGTAGGTTAACAGTTCTCAAAATCATCAACCTAGTGGGTAGGGACCAGACTTGAGTGCTCTCTTCTGTAACATGGGAGCTATAATTCTACCCTTCACAGATGTCTGTGGTGAAGGCAATGCAAAATGAGATAATTACTACCTGCCAGATGGTAGAATTTTATTTGTTTATTCTGGGCACAAGGACAACGTGATAAAGTCCCCCAAGCAGCAGTATATCTTTAGAAAAATCTTCGAGAGGAGGCTTTACCTTGGGAATGTATGAGGACAGCTAATCGGTATGGAGTTTCTTCTGTGGAAAAAAAATATTATAAAATTAGAGTGTGGAAATAGTGGTATAATCCTGCAAATCTATTAAAACATCAACTTGCACATGTAAATAGGCAAATCGTATGCTTTGTGAATGGTACATCAATAAGGCTGTTTTAAAAAGAATGTATAGGAGCAGCATAAAACTAAAAGAGAATTAAGAAATGAAACACAAAGGAACAAACAAACGTCCCAGGTGCTAGTGTGGAGATGCACCAGATTGACTTGTTCTCTTTTCTTCTGGAGCTTGAAGTCCTGTGGGCAGCCACACATTTGCTAATCGGTCCAATAAACAGAGAATTCTGGGTAGAGAATGAACAGGCACAGGACAGTTTGACAGATATTGGTAATCACCCCACAAAATACATGCTCATTTTTCCTTTAGCGGTGATCTTCCCTGAGGTTAGCAACTAGGCTTAGAGGCGTGCTTGTAGCCAGGTCTGCCCCTGTAACTCAGTTATGGCCAATGGCATATGAGTGGAGATCATGTGTGTATTTTTTAAGCCATGTCCTTTAGAGGAAGTTTGTTTCCTTTTCTCCCCTTGCCATGCATGGGGAAGCCAGCTTCAACTTTGTGAATGGGGTTAACACCGTGTGGATAGGTGCTGTAGAAGGAATATTTCTGTCCTCTCTTAGTCAATACGTTATTAGTTGGAAACTAATCACCAATTTGATGGTGTTTGATGTGGGGCCTTTAGAAAGTGATTAGGTCATGAAGCGCAAACCCTCACGAATGGGATTAGTGAGGACACAGCAAAAAGACAGCTGTCTATCAACCAGAAAGCAGGTCAGATACAGAATTTGCTGGCACCCTGGTCTTAGGCTTGCAGCCCTCAAAACTTAGAGCAATAACCTGCTATAATCCTCCCGATCTATGGTACTTTGTTGTAGCTGCCCAAACAAACAAAGACAGTGGTAAAGAATTGAAACAGAAGAAACAGCAGGAGCTTCAGCAAGGCTTAGTTACTGCATTAGACTGCCTGGCTGCTTATGGACCATCTCATGAGGAAGAAATATATTTCTATTCTGAGTGAGCCTCTGACTTTTGGGTAGCTTTGTTCTACCTGTTTAGTCAAGAAGCAAGAACTTGCATTACAAAGATAAGTTAGGAGAGGTGTCACAAAGGAGATTTGTAAGGAAACTTACAGGATGAAGGTGTTACCATACAGAGTGAGAGAAGAGTGATTCCAGGCACGTGCAAATGCCCTGTGGTGGGAAAGAGCTTATCATAACCTAGGGAACTTTTAGAAGGCCAATATGGCTAAAACATAGCTAACCAATGGGGATGGTATAGGGTGAGGTAAGTAAGGTAGGCTTTCTATTACACTTCAGACAGAATCCAATTTCAGTTTTATAAAGATCACACTGGCTGGTACGTAGATAACTCAGGGGGTGTGGGCGGTGACAAGGGAGATGTGTGGAAACAGCAAGACAAGTAGGAAGACTGTTGAAACAGTCAGTGTAAGAGATGGTGCCAGCCAGGACAAGCGTGGATTTGAAGGTGGAGGGGAGTGGGCAGATTTGAGTAGTTTGGGAGTAAACTTGTTGATGAACTGGATGTGGGGAGAAAGAGCAAGGAAAGGAAAGAAATCAGAATAACTTTTGGGTTTCCAGCCTGGTCAAATGAGCAAAGGGTGGAACTGTGAACTGAGATGAAAAATAGAGAGAGAGAAAGAAGGCCAGTACTATGGTTTGCCCTGGAGCGGTGGCTCACACCTGTAATCCCAGCACTTTGGGAAGCCGAGGCAGGCAGAGAACTGAGGTCAGGAGCTCAAGACCAGCCTGGCTAACATGGTAAAGCCCTGTTTTTCCTAAAAATACAAAAATTAGGCAGGTATGGTGGCACGCACATGTAATCCCAGCTACCTCGGAGGCTGAGGCATGAGAATCACTTGAATCTTGGAGGTAGAGGTTGCAGTGAGCCAAGATCATGCCACTGCACTTCAGCCTGGGTGGCAGAGTGAGACTCAATCTCAAAATAAAATAAAATTAAATAAAAATTAAAGAATTGAAGTGCTGAAACTTGGAAGCTAATACAATGTTAAAAGGTGGGGCCTGTAAGAGGTTATTAGGCCATAAGGACTCCTCCCTTGAGAATGGGAATAAGGACCTTGTGAAAGAGGCTCATTCGCACAGCGATCAGCTGTCTTGCCCCTCCACCTTCACCATGTGAGGACATGGCCTTCCTTTCTTCCAGAGAATACATCATCAAGGTGCCATCTTGGAAGCGGAGAGCAGCCCTCACCAGACACCAAACTGACAAGTGCCTTATCTTGGACTTCCCAGCCTGCAAAACTGTGAGAAATAAATTTCTGACCTTTATAAATTACCTAGTCTCAGGCATGTTGTTATAACAGCACTTAC